CGGCGGCCAGCGAAGGCGCGCGCGGCGGCCGGGCCCCGCCCCCGCCTCCGCCGCGGTGACCTTCACGGGCTCGCAGGCCGGGGCAGTGGCGAGATGTTCGTGCAGGAGGAGAAGATCTTCGCGGGCAAGGTGCTGCGGCTGCACATCTGCGCGGCCGACGGCGCCGAGTGGCTGGAGGAGGTGACCGAGGACACCTCGGTGGAGAAGCTCAAGGAGCGCTGCCTCAAGCACGTAAGGCCGGGCGGGCACCCCTTTCCGACCCCTCCCGGTCCCTCCCCGACCCCTTCCTGCCCGCTGTATTCCGGGCCCCTGCTGCACCTCTGCCCTCTTCTTGGAAACCCCAACCCAGACTCGGATCCCGATCCCGGACCCTGCCCAGGCCCTGCCTCCTATCTCCTTCCGGATCCCAGCTCCCTCTCCATCCCTGCCCCAGCCCCCCCATGCCCGCTTTATTCCGGGCCCCCAGCTGCATCTCTGCCCCCTTCCTGGAAACCCTAACCCAGGCTCCGATCCCGGAACCCCGATCTCGGACCCCGCCCAGCCCTTGCCTCCAGTCTTCACCCAGACCCCAGATCCTCGCCCTCTGCCTTGTCCTGGGATCCGCAGCCAGGAGCTCCGGGGTCCTCTCTGCTCGGGCCAGGGGTAGCGCCTCCCACTCTTTCTCTAGAATCTGGGATCTCTGCTCACCTAGTCCTTCAGAGAAGACAGAGCATGCTTTCTTACTCAATTTCTACAACAACCTGCGTGGGGTGGGGGGGTTGGAAGCGATCTGGAAACGGGGCTGGGAGAGGTGAAGGCTAGGGCTTTGCGCTTGCTTGCTGTTGGGATGAGGTTTGTGTTTTCCAGTAGCTTCCCGCAAGGGCTGAGAAGTTTCTAGGTCTCTTCATGAAGAGGCCTGCTCCTGCCTTGCACAGCCAGCTGCTAGTAGCCCTTGGCCTCGGCTTGGCTCTTAGCTGGAGTCACTTAAAATAGTGCCACTGTAGGACAAATCCCTGGGCCTCTGCTTTTCTGCTGGGGGCACAGTTGATTAAGCAGGAAGGTCCGGGACAAGGGTCTCCTCACCGTGAGTGGCATCATTCACTCCCATCAGATGAGCACTCTAGGTAACTCCAGGAACTAGGTTTTTTTTTTTTTTTGGTGTTTTTGAGACGGGGTCTCCCTGTAGCCCCAGCTGGCCTGGAACTCACTATGTAGACCAGGCTGGCCTTGAACTCACAGAGATCCACCTGCCTCTGCCTCCCGAGTGCTAGGATTAAAGGCATGTGCCACCATGCCCAGCAGAACTAGTTCTTTTTTAAATTTTTATTATTTTTATTTTATGTTTACGAGTGTGTTGCCTGCATGCAACACCTGTGCTGTGCAGTGCCTGCGGAGGTCAAAGTAGGGCGTTGGATCCCTTCGAACTGGCGTTACAGATGGTTGTTAGCTGCCATGTGGTGCTGGGACTCGAACCCAGGACCTCTGCAAGAGCTGCCAGTGCCTTTAACCACTGAGCCATTTCTCCAGCCCCAGAACTAGTTCTTTCTTAAAGCCTCACCTCTCTAAGCTCTTCAGCAAAAGGTGAGACAGATCAGACCCTGGTGGCTTATGGAAGCCAGTATCTGGCATGATTGTTTCCTGCCAGAATTTAGGTTAAAGGTGGGCACAGTTTTTTTAGCGGGGACTCTATGAAAAGTTAGGTATCTACTATGTGACAGTTGTGTTAAGGCTGGGCATCAGCATGTTGTTGCCTCTAAGGACAAACTTCCAGTACTGTAGCAACTGCTTACAAAGGTAGTCTTAAGTGCTGCCTCTGTGGTGTCAGTCTGTAGCTGTCAGGCTGGCATGGAGAGGCTGGTTCCAGCCCCTTTGGCAGCACAGTGGTTGTGAGTGACTGTGTGGTCCTGGCTTCTGTGGTTTACCTCCAGGAAGCTCACACTCTTTACAGGATAGGTGTGTTTTATCTGCTTTCTTGTTTTTCCTCTGAACCAGCCCCTCTGGTCTTGCTATCTAGAAAAACCACAGGCTTTAGCACATGCTCCACACACACTCCCTGGGTGGGGACTCCCTGGGCACCTAGACTGTTGCTGTCCCTCCTGCTCATCTAGTTGCATGCTGTGTCCTTCCCTGCCTGGATGGCCTTCTCAGGGCTAAGCTTGGAGCAATCCCAAAGCCAGTGGGAGAAGGAAGGCTGCAAATGTAAAGGGACGGTCAGCCCCAAACCACACTGACACCGAATGTCCCTTCCCTTGGTGTGGCGTTTTGCCTCACTCACTAATACTGTGGTTTTACATAATTGTCAGGGTAGTGTTTTATGAAGGGAATGGGAAGTGATCTGCAGACGCTCACTGATAATTTCAGGAGTGTTGGGGTTAAAGACAGCTGGTTTTAATTGAATGCTAATTGTCTGTGACATTTAGTGTTCCAGCTGGTATTACAGTTGTAGCATTTGGGTTCTTTTCTTGCCGTTGCCTGTCTTTAGATTGAGGTTTTATTCTACCCTGCAGTCTGGAAAACTGGAGAAAGGGAGAATTCACAGCCTAAGAACCAGCGTGAATTACAGACGGAGAGCTGAGCCGCCAGGAGTCCCCACCTGCAGGACCCATCGTCCCATCTTGCGGGAGTCACAATGCATTAGTCAGAAAGGAGGATTTTCAAGTTGTACTTGACTGTCACCCTCAAAACTTGTCTGTGCACACTGTCACTGTGTCTTGACGAGCTCCTCCTTCCCAGTGCCCCTGTCTGTGCCACTGCTGCAGTCAGTTTTCTTTCCCAGCTACGCTGAGGGGACGGTTGGGTTCTTTTCTGTTTTCTCTCTCAGCACTCTGGCAAGTACATTGATGTATCAAGAAGGGGCTTCACGAGGAGATGGGTTTGGTTTTGCTCCCCCTCCCTTTTTTAAATCTAAAATGAGTTAGCCATGATGCTCTCCAGCCTCCATTGCCTAAGCCTGGGGAGGAGTAAACCTTCCTCTCTAAAGGGGGTAGAGGTGGGAAGATGTGGAGCTTTTCCATGCTGTAAAGCAGGATGGAGCACAGGACTTGGTCCTTTGGTGGCTAAAATGTCCCAGGGCCTGTGACGCTTTTGGTCCTACCGACTTCACGTGATAGACAGGACCAGGTGTGAACAGAAGCCAAGGGCCAGCTCCTCTAGGAGTCAGTATGTGAAGGCGGGTATGTGGGGAGCATATACAGGAAGGCCTGAGGACCTGTGTCCTGAGTGTGCCAGGTGACACATCCTGGAATGGGCCAGAGCTTCCTCCAGGCCTGTCCCCAACCCTTACCAGGTTTTAGAAAGTATTAATGAGCCATCTCTCTGGGTTATCTGGGCTTCTTCCTTTCTTGATCTTTAGATAATTCTGCCATCTAACGCCAGGGGAGCTAGAGCAGCAAGTAGTCCTAGCCCCTGTCTGCATCTGGAGTGGCTGTGTTGGGGGCAGGGGTTGATTCTGACCTGTGGGGAGTAGTTGCAGCTGATCAGGTAGCATCTGGTGTGGTGTGTGGTGCTGAAGGGCAGAGGTCAACTGCAGTCATCTGCACAAACTCGGACAAGTGTGCCTGGAGATGAGCACAGGGGCATCCGCTTGTCCTGGTGATGAACACACGGGTACCCGCTCGTCCTTATCACGTGCATTATTGACATTCTTGGTCTCTGTCTGCTTGGCAGTCAGACAGGTGATAGGTGCTGCCCAAAGGAGGTGGCATATGTGCATTCTGTACACCTGTGTGCTGGAGGCTGTCTGAGGTCATAGATGTCTGCCAGGCCCCAGCCTACAGTCTGTGGTGGGATCTTGAAATGCTAACTACAGGATTGAAAGGCTTGCATAGGCCCTGTGCCATGCAGGTGGCTCCTCAGGTCTCCTGCCAATGCCTTTTGGAGGGGCTACACTTCACAGAGTGGCGGGTGGGCTGCCTTCCCAGTCTCCTCCCACCTCCCCTGCCCTGTCCTGTACTAGGTTTCCAGGGCCCTGGAGACTTAGACACAGCTGTGTGCCCCTGGATCTCCAGGAAGCTGCTGCTGGAGGATGACATTGCTTGGGCCCAAAGCTGAGAGCTGAAGCCAGCTGTGTGCAGCGCTCTTCTGGTGACTGTGGACGTTCAGTGGGCAGGTGTTGCCTCCTTGCCTAGGGAAGCAGTCTTCCATCTGTGCCGTTCCAGTCCTGTTCATGTGTCTGTGAAAGAAGAAAAAGCAAATGCACAAAACCTCTGGACCTTTAGGTTCTCAGAGGACCATGGACATACATTCATCCAAATCCAGATCTTCCCGAACTAAAATGATTCAGGTTACAGCGGCTGGTCAGTAAGGTCTCATGTTCCCTTTCAGGAGTCTACAGTGGGCTGGGCTTGTGATGAGCCTGAAGACCTGGGGCTCATGCTCAGTGGCATTTCTCAGCTTTAGTCATTTGTGGGGATTCTTTTCTGTCACTCGTACTTTAATGTCTTGACTAGGAAGAAAAACTCAGTAATTCTATGGGCTGGGAGATGCCTTGAATTCTGATCCCCAGCACCCATGTAAAAGCCAGGTGTGGCAACACACCTGTAACTCCAGCACTGTTGGGCAGAGGACCCCTGGAGCTCCTTGGCCAGCCAGCCTAGCTGAATCCATGAGCTCCAAGTTCAGTGCAAGACACTGTCTCAAAAAATAAAGTAGACCAGGCTGGGTGTGGTGGTGCACGCCTTTAATCCCTGCACTCAGGGAGGCAGAGGCAGGCAGATCTCTGTGAGGTCAAGGCCAGCCAGGTCTACATAGTGAGTTCCGGGCCAGCTGGGGCTACAGGGAGACCCTGTCTCAAAAAGACAATAATAATAATGATGTAGGGAGAAAGACATCCAGCATTAACCTCTGATTGGACGCATGTACACACCCACATGGGGAAAACATACATACACCATACACACACTCAAAACCAGTAATTCCAGGCACAACTTGGGGTGTCAGGCCGTATTACTCTTGGCACAATTTATTCCTATTTAAGATCTGTGGCTTGATTCTTCCCCCAGGGTGCTCACGGGAGCTTGGAAGACCCCAAGAGTGTGACCCACCATAAGTTAATACATGCTGCTTCAGAGAGAGTGCTGAGTGATACCAAGACTATCGTGGAAGAGAGTATCCAGGACCAAGGTAAGGTGGCCTGGAAGGCCGCTGTGCATAGACCCTGGTACCACCCCTGGGGCACCTGTCTGAACTGGACAAGAGCAGGAGGACTGGATAGGCTCTGGTTTTGTTCTTTTATTAAAAGAAATGTGTGTTGTGGTATACTTGTGAAAAATAGCAAAAACCTAAAGTGAGCAAGAAACAGGCATCTGAGAAGCCACACACGTGTGCTCTGTTTAATCCTGGTTCATAGCACAGCCAGGCTCCCGAGTTTCTGCAGACTTTCCTTTTGGGTTGAAGAGATCATCTGGTGGATGTTTGAGGCATCTGAACGAAGTGTTTCTGTCACACACCCACCACTTACCCTGTACTTCTGTGGCGGCTCTGGGAGAAAGCCTCCATTTTCTGTATGTCATTCATACAGAAAACATTCAGCTGGATTCTTTTAAGTTGAGCCATGATCAGAGCTCAAAATATAGTGGGAAGTGACCTCCCATGGTGAGCTGCGGACTGGCCACAGCTCAGGTTGTTGGCTTGGAGGTATCAGACCCAGCTCTACGTATGGCCTCATGAAGTTTTAGAACTGAGCTCTTAGATGGGCGTGGTGGCTCATGCCTGTGGTCCCAGCACTTGGGAGGCAGATGCAGGCGGATCTCTGTGAGTTCAAGGCCAGCCTGGTCTACATAGTTCCAGGACAGCTGGGGCTACAGGGAGACCCTGCTTCAAAAAGACAAAAAAAAAAAAAAAAAAAAAAAAAAAATATCTCTTTAAAAAAAAAAAATTTTTTTGGGGTAAAAAAAAAAAAAAGAACTGAGCTCTTGAAAATAAGGACATTTTTCAGGATGTCTACTAGTACTTGTGTAGTCCTCAGGGCTGTGCTGTGCCCATCTCTGGGGCCACTGGTCCTCTGTGATGACCATGGTTGAGGAGAAGGGGTTGGCTTAGGAGATGCCCAGAGGAAACCCCTGCTTTTTCTGACCTTGGGCATTTAGCACCTCTCTCTGTCTCTCTCTCTGTCTGTCTCTGTCTCTGTCTCTGTCTCTGTCTCTCTCTCTCTTACTCTCATTCATGTGTGTGATAATGTGTTCATGTGTGGGGGCAGTTGTGCATGTGGAGGCCTGACATTGACATTGGTGTCGGGAGCCATGTTGTTAAGCATTGGAAATTAGGACTTTAAGAGCTTCTGAGCTCTCTGCTTCAGCGGTCAGAGCTGACAGGCTGTGCCTGGATGATAAATCAGGTCTTCTAGAAAGTTAGTTTTAGTTCAGCCTTCATGCTGTTTCTATAGTAACCCTTTTGTTTCTGTTGGGAAGATGCACCTGGTGAACCCAAACTCTGGGCCGGATAAAAAGGACCTGTGGGACCCCTCAGTAGATTCTTCCTTCTAAAGAGCGCTCTCCTCTCTGTACCTGCTGTCCCTTTAATAAATTCCTCGCATAACTTCAGACGTTTGCCTGAGTGTCCTTTTTGTTGAAGACCCAAGCCTGGTGGGCTTGGGGGGCGTTCGACACATTGGGAGTCTTGATCACTGCCCACATTCTTCACTGAGGTGGGGTCTCTTCCTGAACCCAGAGCTTGTCTGCATGACTGGTCTGGCTGGCTTTCTGAGTGCTGGAATTGCAGGCGGGCTGCCTAGCCCTCTGCATGGCCAGAGCATTGCCATGAGTTCTAGAGCCCTGCACTCCAGTTCTCACACTTACATGGCAAGCACCTTACCCACTGAGCCATCTCCCAGCTCCCACCCGGCACCTTCTATAGCATGTGTGGTATGAGTGATAACTGGCTTCATGGAGACAATGATTCTTTTTTCTAGATGTCCTTTTACTGATAAAAAAGCGCGTTCCTTCTCCACTTCCCAAGATGGCTGATGTCTCTGCAGAAGAAAAGGTACATTGCAAAGTTCGCAACTAGTCATCTTTTCTTATTATTATTACTATTTTTATTTTATGTGTATACATGTATTGCCTGCATGTAGGTAAGTGCACCCATGTTGTGCAGTGCCCACAAAGATCAGAAGAGGCTGTCAGATCCCCTGGGACTGGAGTTAGGGACAGCTGTTAGCTGCCATGTGGGTGCTGGGATTCGAACCCGGGTCTTCTGCAAGAACAACCAGTGTTCTTAACTGCTGAGCCATCTCTCCAGCCCCAACAACCAGGGATCTTTATCAGCAGATGTCTTGTGGAGTCAGACTGGCATATTCTATATGTGCATTATTCCCTGGGCCTGCACATCCTCCATAACACATATGCTGAGAGGGGCCTCCACATGGCCCAGCCTGTTTACCTCAGTCTGTTCCTGACTGCCGGTCAGCTCCAGAAAAGCTGCCGCTGGTCTGGAAGCAGAGGAAGGTGAGGTCGCTGTCCTCAGAGGGAGCTTCACCCTGTGCCACTGCCCTCTGTGACCTCCGTCCTTTCTCATCTCCCAGCAGGACTGACAGTGGGGGCAGCTGCAGTTGCTATGCACAGCGTAGAGAGCAGGCAGAGGGGCGATGAGCACAGCTGCGTTCTGTGTTGGAGGGCATTTGTGGCTTACATCATCCTGTATCAGGAGCCTTAGGAAACCACAGTTCGTTCCTTCTCTAGTGGCTCTTGAGAGCCCATCCTTCAGGAAGGCTCTCGTAAACGGTGCAAGATGCATCCTGTAAGTGCCTGTTGGCCCTACCACTAGACCGCGCATCTGTGCCTGGTCAGGGAAGTGCTGTTTTGTTTTTTATTTTTTTCTTTTGGTCTTTTTGAGACAGTCTCCCTGTAGCCCCAGCTGTCCTGGAACACACCGTGTAGACCAGGCTGGCGCTGAACTCACAGACATCTGCCTGCCTCTGCTTCCCAAGTGCTGGGATTAAAGGCGTGTGCTACCACACCCAGCCAGAAGTGCAGTTTTAATTATGTGGTGTTTTTTGGTTTTGGTTTTGGTTTTTTTGGGGGGTCTTTTTGAGACAGGGTCTCCCTGTAGCCCCAGCTGTCCAGGAACTCACTATGTAGACCAGGCTGGCCTTGAACTCACAGAGATCCACCTGCCTCTGCCTCCCAAGTGCTGAGATTAAAGGCGTGTGCCACCACACCTGTCCAAAGATGTGTTTTTTAATTTTCATTTATATGTGTGTATCCATGAGTCTGTGTGTTTTCCCAAGGAGGCCAGAAAAGGGTGTTGGTTCCCCCAGAGCTGGAGTTACAGTTGGTTGTGAGCTATACTACAAATGTGCTGGGAACGGAACTTGAGTTTTAAAGGGCGGCCACTTCCATTTAATACCTTTTTCTGTCTCAAGGTCTGGTGTTTCCTACCCATGCTTTGAAATACTAACAAGAGTGTTGGCCTCGGAAGGAGAAGGCCAGCTTTTGGCTGGTGGCAGGATAGCAGATGAGCTATTTGGGGCGCTGGGGCTTTGTGCCCTCCACCCTCCTTATCTTGGGCCACCTGGTTGTGGTGTTGGTGTGGATGTGGGTGTGGGTGTGGGTGCAGGCGGGGCAGCACATGAGCAGGCTGCCCCACCCACCTCCAGCAGACAGATCTGGGCCTCCTCCTGCTGGCTGTCCTGAGCCAGGCTGATTGCAGAGCTCAGATTACAGTTCCAACTGGGTATTTGGACTTAAATGTCCCTTAACTAGTATAAATAGGGCTGGTGGCCTTGGACTTGAGTAAGGCAGCTCACAAATAGCTTGTGGGTATGGAGCTACCTTGACACTTCACAGCTTGTAAAATGAAACACTGTATATTTCATATGTTTATGGTCTGGAACTCAGATTAAAGGCGCTGCCTCTGCCTCTGCCTCTGCCTCTGCCTCTGCTGGGATTAAAGTGTACCACCACACACACCTGGCTGATTTTTTTCTTTTTTTTTTTTTTTTTTGGTCTTTTTGAGACAGGGTCTCCCTGCAGCCCCAGCTGTCCTGGAACTCACTATGTAGACCAGGCTGGCCTCGAACTCACAAAGATCTGCCTGCCTCTGCCTCCCAAGTGCTGGGACTAAAGGCGTGCGCCACCACGCCTGGCCTCTTTTTGAAAAGAATCAAGATGGTGTGCTGGCTGGGATGCAGAACCCTAACCTTGTGTGTTCAAGGCCATGAGTTCAGTTTCGTCACTGCAAGATGAAATCTTAGAAAGGAGAGAAAAAATTATCCTTTCATACTGTGCTGGACAGCTTTAGTGTCAACTTGACACACCTGGGTTGAGGGAGTCTCAATCGGGGAATTGCCTCTATTGGACTGGCCTGTGGCCATGTCTGAAGGGCATCTTCTTGATGAGTGATGTGGGAGGGCCCAGCCCACTGTGGGTGGTGCCACCCCTGGGCAGGTGGGCCTGTGTGGCATAAGAAAGCAGGATGAGCAGGGGTGGGGAACCAAGCCAGTAAGCAGCGTTCCTCCATGGCCTGTGCTCCAGCTCCTGCCTCCAGGTTCCTGCCCTGAGCTCCTACCTTGGGCTCCCGGATGAACTGTGACCCGGGAGATGTAAGCTGAATAAACCCTTTCCTCCCCAAGTTGGTAGTGGTCAGAGTACTTTGTCACAGCAATGAAGAACAGACTAGGACACATACAAACTTGCTCTTTCTGAACTAATCCTTTCCTTGTCCTTTTCCTTGCTTTTAGTTTTTTATGGGTTTATAAGTAACATTTTCTCTGATAACGTGTCACATGTGTCTGTTGCTCTTGGGTGCTGCTGGCCTCTGTGTCTTCTGTGAATCACTGTGTGTCCCTGTGCAGCCAGGTCTGCTCTCTCTGGGTTGAGTTGCATGCTGGGTTCCTGCCGCCACCTCTCCTGCCCAGCCTTGTCTTTTTTTAAAATTTTATTTATTATTTTTATTTTATGTGTATGTGTGTATTGCCTGCATGTAGGTAAGTGCACCTGTGTCGTGCAATGCCCGTGGAGGTCAGAAGAGGCTGTCAGATCCCCTGGGACTGGAGTTACGCACAGTTGTTAGCTGCCGTGTAGGTGGTGGGATTCAAACCCGGGTCTTCTGCAAGAACAACCACTGTTCTTAACCACTGAGCCATCTCTCCAGCCCTAGCCTTGTCTTCTGAATACAGCCTTCAGCCCTTTGCTCACGGCTTGTGGGATCAGAGGCTCAGCTAGGTCTTCCAGGCTTTCAAGCATTCCTTCCTGGAGATTCTGGAAGGAAGCTTCTGGGTGCTTCCAGTCAACTGATAGAATCCAATCACGGCTCTCAGCTGGGGGCTAACCTCAATTCTGGGGCAGCTTGCATGGCCCTTCCATCTTCACAGCAGCAGAATCTTCTAGTAGTTGAACCCCCTTTCTGGAAAGTGCCCCATCCTTTGTAAGGGCTCTGGTGGCTTGGTTAGGGCTGCCACCAGGCTCGTGCTCACCTACTCTTGGCTATGCCATACTACAAAACCCAAGCCCAGGGCTGAGCCTTCTGCTCACATCCTGGGATCATGTAAAGCTGGGGACTGCCAGGGGGGTGTGGGACTGTCCAAGTTCTGCAGAATCAGTGTCTCCTTGCCCTGCTTCTGTGGTGTGTTAGTCAGGCTTGACATCACTGAGGCAGAGCGCCTGAGGAACTAGTGTAGGGGAAGCATCCTCAGAGGTTTCAGTCCAGGGCAGCTGCTCCCATCACCCTTTTGGGGCCCATGACAGTGCAGAGACAGGAAGGGCGAAGGACGGCGTGCGTCAGGACAGCGTGCGTCAGGGTGACAAGGAAGCCAAGCAGAGTAAGAAGAGACCAGGGTAGGGCTCACCCTAACCCTCTTCTGACCACCATGGCACTGCACGGCACAGGCGCGCCCACATACAGTACACTCACACACATAAAAAATAATAATAATATTTTTTAAAAAGGCACATTTCCAGCCACCACATCCTCTGAGCAGGCCCATTAATGGATTAAACCATTGGTCAGGTCACCGTCCTCCTAATCTAATTCTCTTTGGAAACATCCTCCAAGACATAGTCAGAAGGGGCTTTACTGACGGACATGTGTCTCACACAGGGTTGGTGAAGCGTGACTCCTCTAGATTCCACACCTGAATGGGGGTTGACAGTTTTGTGATCCCTCCTTTCCCAAGTGTCTGGAACCTTTTGGAACCTCTGGGTGCACTGAGGTACTCTGAAATTTCTTAGGCACCGTGGGGCAGCCCTCTAGGGAGTCAGACGTCTGAATCCTGGAATTCTAGATCTTCTGTGCGTTTTTATTTTCATTTTCTTCTTTTTGTTTGTTTGTTTTTTTGTTTTTTGAGACAGGGTCTCCCTGCAGCCCCAGCTGTCCTGGAACTCACTATGTAGACCAGGCTGGCCTTAAATTTTTGGTGATCTTCCCACTTCAACCTCCCAAGTGCTAGGACTACAGGCGTGTGCTGCCGTGGCTGGCTTTTCTTGACTGCTCTTGACAATGTCTTCTTTGCCTTTTCACTTTGCACAGCTCTTGGTGACTGGCTGTTGAGCCTGTGTGTGTCTGGGTTTCCCTTCGCCCTGTCTTCTAACAGTTCTGCAGCCCTTTTACCTGGCTGCCTTGGGCCCTGCCTGTGGTACCCTGGTACACACCTGCTAGATGTGATGCTACTGGTGCTGAGATGCTCCCCCTTCCACACTCCTCCTCCTCTTCACTGTTTTTATTTTTCCCCTTCTTGGTCGTGGAGTCTTTCCTTCTACTCAGCCTCTGAGAGCCCTGGAGGCTTGTGCTAGCTCCTGGCTTCGCAGGGCAGAGGCCCAGCCTCCTTGACCCTTTCTTACCCCACAGTCGCATCTGTTCTGGCTGGTTTGCTGATGATGTGAGTAGCTGGGGTGAACAAGAAGCAAAACAGTAGGTGGGTGTAGGAAGGCAGGCCTCCCTCCTCTTTCCTATCCCTCTTCTCTCCCTCTTTCCTCCCTCCCTCCTTCCTATCCCTCTTCTCTCCCTCTTTCCTCCCTCCCTCCTTCCTATCCCTCTTCTCTCCCCCTTTCCTCCCCCCTCCTTCCTATCCCTCTTCTTTCCCTCTTTCCTCCCCTCCTCCTTCCTATCCCTCTTCTCTCCCTCTTTCCTCCCCCCCTCCTTCCTATCCCTCTTCTCTCCCTCTTTCCTCCCTCCCTCCTTCCTATCCCTCTTCTCTCCCTCTTTCCTCCCTCCCTCCTTCCTATCCCTCTTCTCTCCCTCTTTCCTCCCTCCCTCCTTCCTATCCCTCTTCTCTCCCTCTTTCCTCCCTCCCTCCTTCCTATCCCTCTTCTCTCCCTCTTTCCTCCCTCCCTCCTTCCTATCCCTCTTCTCTCCCTCTTTCCTCCCTCCCTCCTTCCTATCCCTCTTCTCTCCCTCTTTCCTCCCTCCCTCCTTCCTATCCCTCTTCTCTCCCTCTTTCCTCCCTCCCTCCTTCCTATCCCTCTTCTCTCCCTCTTTCCTCCCTCCCTCCTTCCTATCCCTCTTCTCTCCCTCTTTCCTCCCTCCCTCCTTCCTATCCCTCTTCTCTCCCTCTTTCCTCCCTCCCTCCTTCCTATCCCTCTTCTCTCCCTCTTTCCTCCCTCCCTCCTTCCTATCCCTCTTCTCTCCCTCTTTCCTCCCTCCCTCCTGCCTATCCCTCTTCTCTCCCCCTTTCCTCCCCCCCTCCTTCCTATCCCTCTTCTCTCCCTCTTTCCACCCCCCCTCCTTCCTTCACTTGGGTGTACTCTACCACTTTAGGCTCTCGGGTTTTGCTTTTCTAGGCAGCTGCTGGCCAAGGCCATTGTGGAGGAAGCTCTTTGGCTGCTGGCACTCAGGTCTGCCTTCTCTGGCACCATTGTCCTGCTGCTCCTTCGTGGGTTGGTGTGGCCTTGCTTCTGCCGTGTGGGTACCTCACATGAGCCGATGACTCTGTCCCCAACTATGTGCTTCCAGTGTGCTGCTGCCTGCTGGTTGGTTCCTCTCTTTTCCCGTCTGTGAGCCCCTGTCCCCTCGTCCTTTGCTCACAGAGGCTTGGGAGGCCTTTGGGCTTCGCTGCAGCTATGTGCTTCCTCTGAAGGCTTCTCCCTAGCCCTGCCGCAGCACACAGGGCATCACTCTGTACCCTCAACGCCACACAGTTTACACAGGTGAGATTGTGTCCTAAGTATCTTGTCAGGCTTCTGTTTGGAAGGCTGTGTGCAGAACTTTCTAGAATCTCCCAACTCAAGGGGATCATAGTCACAGCCTGGAAGGAGACTGCTTTTTCTCCTCTAGGCTGTCTGTCTAGCTTCCTGCTCGCACCCCTCATGTTCCTGGCTCCTTCCTGACTAGAGTCACTTTCTGTGCAGAAGAAGCAAGAGCAAAAGGCCCCAGACAAAGAAGCCATCCTCCGGGCCACAGCCAGCCTGCCCGCCTGCAGCACAGACCGAACTGCTGTCCAGACCACCATGAGAGATGTGAGTGCTTGGGGTTGAGGGATGTACCAGGGCCAACAGGAGGTTCCTTGAAAGTGCCTGGGGTTTGTGTCATGGCTGGGGTATACCTGTGGTCCTGGCACTCAGGAGGCTAAGGCAGGAGGATGGCTTGAGGCCAGGAGTTTGTCTGGCTTAGACACCCTAGTCAGACTGTCTCCATAAAAGAAGGAAAAATAGCAAAGAATCTAGAGTGTAGTATTGAGGGACTCTTTGTAACTGTTCCATAAATCTACAATTTTTCAAAGGATGAAGCTTACTAGATGTGTTAGGTCAGCACTGGACAGGTAGACAGGATAGACAGCTATGAGTAAATACGGGGCTTTGTCCTGAGCATAAAAGAGCTTTCAGGGAGGAGTCTGAGCGCCTAAGTTAAAGGACAGAAGCCTGCACCATGCCCACCTGGGCCAGCCCAGGATGAGGTCTGCTTGTGCTGTGTGCTGGAGTTGGGGAAAGTGGCCAGCCTTTAACTTCATCAGTTCAGACTGATCTGGGCCCTGCTGGGAACCAGATTTCTTACAAGGTCCCTTCTGGAGAATTCCATTTGACCAGGGCATTGTAACTTCTTCAATGACTGGCAGGTGTGTCCCTCCTGGCCTCTGTGTGTCCTTCTTGTCTCTCAGGAAGGCTTAGGCTTGTTGTGCCCCATCTCCAGACCCTATCCTGGGAGAGAACTGGTACAGGGAGGGTCTCTGATCTCATAGCTCTAGCTCATTGGTCATCTGCTGGCACTGCCAGCCTGCTTCTGGGCACAGAGCCAATGAGCAGTGGACTCTCAGATCTGCCCACTTTCTCCAGTGAGGCTGGAGGAGAAGCTGCAGCTTGCATGGCCGTGGCTGGCCAGATGCCATCCTCAGTGGCTATAGGCTGAGCACCACTGAGCTCTCAGGGTTGTCACCAGAGGTGGTTATGCCCATGTGGTAGCTGAGAAGTCCTCTCCACAGCCTGACTGTGCACAGTGAGCACTCCCGAGGACCCACTGGGCCCCTTATCTACCCTCCCCTTGCTGTCCACACTCACCTGAAGGAAGGCAGCATGTTTAGCTTGGCAGGGCCGGGTCAGGACTGGAGCTGCAGATCCCAGCTGTTTTGTTGGGCATTCAGAGAAAAGATCTTTTTTCCTTCTTGTGACAGGGTTTTCCTTTTGAGACAGGGTTTACTGTGAGCGTAGGTTGGCCTCAAACTCTCCATGTGCTTACCTCAGCCTCCCAGGGACTGGGATACAGGTATGCACCAGTATCTTCCCGCCTCAGCCCTCTCAGGGCTAGAGTACAAGTGTGTGCCACTATGGCCAGCACAATCTCTTTGTTTTTTCTGCAGTTTCAGACAGAACTACGGAAAATCTTGGTGTCTCTCATCGAGGTGGCACAGAAGCTGTTAGCACTGAATCCTGATGCAGTTGAATTGTTTAAGAAGGCAAATGGTATGGCCCTGGCCCAACCTGTACCCATTGCCTGTTTGCCTGTGCCTCAGGGTGGGTCCCCAGCCCTCACATGGAAGCAGGGAGACTCCGTGTTGTGCTTTCTGTTGGTGTGGGTTCCTGCTGTGTGGCCATTCCTCACGTGCATGTGAGCTGATGTGAGGGCTTGGCTTTTCCGTGGCTTCGTTAGTTGCCATGAGCCTTTGTGGATGAGGCCGTGGGACCTTGAAGGGCTTGGAAAGCCACTCATGTCAAGTCTGTTCTTTCTCCTCAGCTATGCTGGATGAAGATGAGGATGAGCGGGTGGATGAGACCGCCTTGCGGCAGCTCACAGAAATGGGCTTTCCTGAGAGCAGAGCCTCGAAGGCCCTTCGGCTGAACCAGTATGCCTGGGCTTGTCTTCCCCTCCCCTCACCTCCTTCCCACCCTCCTTTCCTGGGGCTTGGTCTTTGGGCTTCCCCTGTGGTCATGTCTTTATCTTTCAAACTCATGGAATCATTTCTGATGTGTGTGTGCAAAAAGAGGTGTCTTATTGTTGTGCCCCCAAAGTACCTTCATTTATGATCTCAAAAGTGTGTTTTTGGCTGGGTGTGTTGGTATATGCCTTTAATCCCAGCATTTGGGAGGCAGAGGCAGGCAGATTTCTGTGAGTTCAAGGCTAGGCTGGTCTATGTAGCAAGCTTTATGCCAGCCAGGGTTACACAGCTGTCTCAAAAAAAGAAAGAAAAATGTGTGTGTGTGTGTGTGTGTGTGTGTGTGTGTGTGTGTGTGTAAAGTCTAGCTTTGTTGCCTATGCTGGTCTTGAATTCCTGGGCTCAGGCAGCCCTGCGTTGGTCTCTTGGAGTTGGGACTGCAGGTATTTACCACTGAACCTGGCTCCTGGGAAGTTAGAAATCAGTCTGTGAATGTGTCCGCTCTCCTGTATCAGGAGCACTCGGAGCCAGGGCTGCTCCTGGTGGGACAGGGGCTCTATAGTCCTGAGCTCATGTTTTCAGTTACTTCCCAGATCCCACATGAAGACTGCAGACCAGGGCTAGTCAGCGGCTGTGCTGTTTGTGCTCTGTACCTGGACTCCCATGTCTCTTGTGTTTTAGGCATGTGTCTGTGCTTGTGCTGAGTTGGAGGCCAGGGCTCTGTGGAGGTTTCCAGCCAAGAGATCATGCACTGCCATTGCTGCCGCCAGCAGAACAGGCGTCTCTTCTCGGGGCACATGGGAAAGGGGCTCTGCTGGGAGGTTGAGAAGAGTCTCTTGTCCCTTTCAGCATGTCAGTGCCTCAGGCCATGGAGTGGTTAATTGAGCATGCTGAGGACCCTGCTATCGACTCACCTCTTCCAGGCCAGGCCCCCGCAGCAGGGGCAGGTGCTGCAGCTGCCACCTCCACCACCCCTGAAGCTGCCGCGGGGACTGGTACAGGAGATGAGGAGGCCCGGGATGAGCTCACCGAGATCTTTAAGAAGATCCGTAGGAAAAGGGAATTCCGGGCCGATGCTCGGGTATGTGGTAGGGCCTGGGGTGAAGTTGGCTTTGTGGTCTTGGCTGTGTTGTATAAGGAAGTCGAGTGCCTACAGCTGGGGTGGGAGTTCCCCTGAGGCCTGGGCAAACTTGGTTCCCCACATGTCATCCTTGCCTGAGTTCAAGTAGCTTCTTCCTGCTCAGTGGCCAGTGGTGCTGAGCCATCCCTAGAAGCTCAATGTGTGAGTTTCCATCTACTATGAGTTTGGGCTGTTGCACCTCTTGCTGTGGCCTTTGGGCTGGGTAGGGAGTGTCCAGAGAGCTGGACATCCCATGGGCTGGCAGGCGAGTGAGCGTGGGTCAGGCTGGACACTGGGTAAGGACCTGGGATCTGGGATACCTGACTGCCCTCCATCCACTGCCACAAGTACACATTTACGGCCCCATCTTGCCGTCCCCTCAGCTTGCACCTGCCTGCCTCCCTGGTCTTCATTCACTCTTTCTTTGCTGGGCTTTTAATGCCTCCTTTGGCCTTTTGCTTCCTTTCAGGGAGCAGACTTGCTGCCCAGAGCTCATGCTTCCTGTTCCAGATTCTGGCATGTGCACATTGTTTTCTCTGGGCCTTGCTGTGGGGCATGTCTGTTCCAGGGGCAGCCATGTTGCCAGGTTGCAAGGTGTCCACAGCTGAATTGGGTTTACGTCTCTAGGGCCAAGCAGGACTGCCAGCCAGGGCCTGTGTTGTCATTTGTCCTGGGGTCCCATGCTCTTGCAGCACTGACTGCACTTCTGCAGAGGCCAAGGCATCTCCTTGCCTTGTTTTGGCTTTAACGAGGGTCCCAGTGTCCTTTCCCACCTTCCGTGGGTCAGGCGCTGCTCGCTGTCTGCAAACACCCGCCGTGGCACAGTGGCAGAAGCGAGGTCACACTGTACATGGTGCTGCCCCTCTTGGGCCATGTGTCCTCTGGTGAGGGGCTGACCTGCTTGTGGTTCCTGCCTAGGCTGTCATTTCGCTGATGGAGATGGGCTTTGATGAAAAGGAAGTGATTGACGCACTCCGAGTGAACAACAACCAGCAGAATGCCGCTGTGAGTCTAGCCAATCTTGCCCCTGTACTGCGCTGGTGTGGCACGTCAGAAATTTCCCACATCAGGCTTCCATACATAGTTGGTGATGGTGCTTTTTATGTGAAGTATTGGAGCAGGTGTTTCAAACAGAAATAGAGAAAATCCGGGGCCTGCAGGACAAGGCTTCTTGTGTGCATGTGTAGCTGGGGCTACAGGTCTAGAACTCAATATGTAGACCAGGCTGGCCTCGAACTCACAGAGATCCACCTGCCTCTGCCTCCCGAGTGCTGGGATTAAAGGTGTGCGCCACCACGCCTGGCTGCGTTTCTGACTTTTAAACAGATGTTAAGATGGAGTCCCATGGGGAGCATGTGGCAGCTCTGGGCCCCTTCCCTTTGGGTGGAATTGAGGCTCAGAAAACAGACACACAGATGACTAGTTCTGGATCCAGACTTCCCAGGCTTATTGGCCGTGGAGAGTTGCAGCCATGCTGGTGTGTGGAACTGCATTGACCAAGGCCATGGCAGCAGTCAAGCTGACCTGCAGTGCCATGGCTCTGCTAAGAAGGCCAGACTGATGCTTCCTGCTCTTCAGCCTGGCTGGCTGTGCCCTGACTATGGACTGGGCTTGTTTGTGTTAGTGCCCCTTCCAGGCTGTGCAGCTGACCAAGAAAGGGACAGGTGAGCCTCTCTGCTCGTTGTCATCCGTGTCTCCAGAAGGAACTAACAGCTCTGATGTTCTTGGGTTTGCAGTGTGAGTGGCTGCTGGGGGACCGGAAGCCATCCCCAGAGGAGCTGGACCAGGGCATCGACCCCAACAGTCCTCTCTTCCAGGCCATCCTGGACAACCCAGTGGTGCAGTTGGGTCTGACCAACCCTAAGACCTTGTTAGGTATGTGTGTCTAACTTAGGTGGGTGGGGACAGGGGACACATGGTGGGCTCCCTGCCACAAGACACAGTGTTAATGAGATGGATTGGGCACTGCTGTACCAGGAGGTTGGCTCTTGGAAAGCTCTTGGCCTAGACTGCTGAAAGGCCCTGAAGTCAGGTTCTGCCCCTGGTGCTGGGCTTGTGCGCCAGGAGCTTGAGCAGAGTGGTGGCCTGTGGGAGCAGGTAGTGATATATTTACAGGTTGTGATATATTTACATACAACAGTCTATATAGTAAGGCTAGTGAGATGGATTAGTGGATAGTGGCATTTGCCACCAAGCCTGATGATCAGAATTTGGTTCCCTGGAACCCACATGGTGGGAGAGAACAGACTCCTGCAAATTGTCCTCTGACCTCCACACGTGCGACACACAAAACACAAACAAGTGAAGGTTGGCTCTTGGAAAGCTCTTGGCCTAGACTGCTGAAAGGCCCTGAAGTCAGGTTCTGCCCCTGGTGCTGGGCTTGTGCGCCAGGAGCTTGAGCAGAGTGGTGGCCTGTGGGAGCAGGTAGTGAAAAGTGTGGTTTGACTTTCACTATGGTTTGTATGGAGTTTCTCTGATAATTACTCACACACACGCACACACACATACACACACATGCTCACGTTATGTGCAAATGGTAGTCATTTTCTTCATTCTATGAATTTCTCAAAAAATTAATAAAATATCAAAAAATATAAAATCTAGGGACTGGAGAGATGGCTCAGTGGTGAAGAACACTGGTTGTTCTTGCAGAAGACCCGGGTTCGAATCCCAGCACCCGCATGGCAGCTAACAACTGTCCCTAACTCCAGTTCCAGGGGGTCGGACAGCCTCTTCTGTCCCCCGTGGGCATTGCACGACACAGGTGCACTCACATATATGCAGGCGGTACACTCATACACATAAAATAATAAAAATAATAAAATATTTTTTAAAAAAGAGCACTAGTACCAATGTGTGTGCCATTCATTTAAAACAGTACAGTCAGCCGGTTATGGCGGCCCACACTATAATCTTAGCATTCAGATGGCAGAGGCAGGAGGATTGCGAGGTCAAGACCAGCCTGGAACACTGAAATGCTGTCACAACCTCCTCCCCAAACAGCACAGTATCCTGTAGTATCTGTGGAGATGGATCCAGGATCCCTGTGGACACTAATCCGCAGATACTCGAGTCTCTTACAAAATAGAATAGACCAGTGTGGTGCCTCACACCTAGGGTCCCAGAAAGGCAAGAAGGATCAGTTTCCAGCCAGCCTGAGCTACAGTGAGTGGGCCTGTCTCCAGCAACAGAAACGTTCGTTTTGAGATACGTGCACATTTTTTTCTTGAAGTTGGTTGTTTTGCTGTTGCTTTTTGTTTTTATTTTTTATTTTTATTTTATGTGTATCAGTGTATTGCCTGCACGTAGGTAAGTGCACCACCACCTGCCGAAGAGGCTGTCGGATCCCCTGGGGCTGGAGTTACGGACAGTTGTTAGCTGCCGTGTGGGTGCTGGGATTCGAACCTGGGTCTTCTGCAAGAATAACCAGTGTTCCTAACCGCTGAGCCATGTCTCCAGCCCCCGTTGTTGCTTTTTGAGACAAGGTCTCCAAAGCCCCAGCTGGCTTGGAACTCACCATGTAGAGAGTTCCTCTGCCTGCCTCTGCCTCCCGAGTGCTGTGATCAAAGGCCTGCGCCACCACATCCAACTTCTTGATGTTTCTTTTTTGCTTTTTTGGAAGCGGGCTCTGGTTACGTAGCCCAGACTGACCGCAGACTTGCTGTCTTCCTGCTTCAGCTTTCTGAGTGCTGGGGTCACTGCACCTGGCCTTTCCCGAGTGCTTTGATCCTTGGTTGGTTGAATTCAAAGATACTGCATCTGTGAGTAGAGGGCCGACCCGTCCAGTTCTTAGGCCACTAATCCCTCAAGTGCCCTCTCCATGCATCACTGGCTCCTGCAGACCCGAGTGGCCACAGTGCACAGGGCCTTGTCCCCCTATGGCTTTCTAGAACAGTTGGCTTGATTTGTGTATATTGCCGGCCAGGTACTTGTTCCCAGCCTTAGGTAGTAGCATCACTGTTCAGGCTGCTTCTGTGACTGCCTGCGGTGTCTCCCGTAAACTGTTCTGGGGGCCAGGGCCGGTTGTCTCCTGCTGTCCAGTGGCACGTGGGTTATTTCCGGTCCCTTGGGTTCCTGTGAGCTGTACTTGCAGGCCCCTGGGTGGGTGCCGGGGAAGGGGGCTCTGAACTGTCCCTGTGCATCTGGTCTGCAGTGGAGCTCAGCAGCAGGGCCTGGTGGTACCGGGCCTTCTGTCCACCTTTGGGTCTCTTCTTTCTGGGCTTTTCTCATTTGTGAGAAAGGTTTCCATGTCCGAACACTGGCCTGTAGCGTGTTGTTGCATTTCCGGTCCTGCCGGCTCTTGCGAACAGAAAGAAGTCTTGTGTTTTTGTGAACCTGAAGGTGTCTGTTTCTTTTATGTTGTGACACTTTTTTTTTTTTTTTTTTTTGAAAGGGGGTCCCCCTAACCCCACCGGGGCCCGGA